CATGTGTTTGTTATCAGTGAATGCTTTTAGTTTGATATCTATAAAATACACAATAGCTAACCCTAACAAACAACAGATAACCATCCTACACACATTATTGTTCCGTCACATTGTGAGCGTCTTATTTATATACCAGACAAACATATATCTAGTAATAATGGCTGGAGACGGCTTAAATGGGTAATGAAGAAAAACTCCAATATTTTACTTTTAGAATCACAAAAAAATATGGATCTATCACAAAAAGAAAACATAACGGTACCTCCCGCGTCGTTTAACAATTAAATGTAGAAGCTGTGCTGGTACACAAAATATTTTTAAAATTACACGCACTTAAAAAGCCACCTTTATATTCCCCATACAATAAAAACAAACAACAGAGCCTTTATATAAGAAAAAAAGGAGTCGTCCCCAGGTTAGTTTAACCATTAGGGGTTATTAAATCATCTAGTTTCAACATTTTATATATATATATAAATTGCACTATCCAAGCCACCTCAAATTCACATGCCACAAACAACGTGCCTTTGATATTAGAAAATGAGGGTATCGGGGACAGTTTATCAACAAAAGGGAATCAAATATATTGTTTTCTCATACTGTGGAAAACAAAAATTCTATAAAAAAAAATCACTTGCACCTCCGAAGGTATCCTAAAATTCACATACAGGGTATATAATGGGGTAGACCGAGGGTTTCCAAAAGGCGTTCTCACAGGACAAAGACAGCGGCAATTATACCGCACTTAAAAATCAGACAACGGGTCCAAGTGCGACTTATAAGTATATCATAACTGTAGTACTGGAACACACTATATGTTTTTCACCCCTTTGGTTAAAAAGTAAAATTTTTTAAATTGTGTGTGTGTGTGTGTTTTTTTTCATAGTTCCCCAAATAGAACATAATGGTTCTCCAATGAGTCACTAACTTTTACTTTCCTTATATGGTGAACTAGATTAATTAAGCGAAGATTAAGATAATTGTCTGGGTGATTAACTTGTAGAAATAACAACGTTGTTTGTAATTAGCAAGCTGAGTTATTCTTGTCGACGAATTAAATAATAATTCCGAGTAGACTTGCCCTTGATCTTCCCTGCCCATTGGCCAGCTGATCGAACAAACACCAGTTCCTGTTTTATTATGTCAGAAACTTCAGGTTTATTTACGTATCTAAGACAATGTTGGGGCTTTTGAGAGCAGATTTTTGACATAATTTATATAGAATATCAGAAAATTTAACATAAATTTTAATACAAGTTTCACGATAGATTATATAGTATTTCCATAGAGATTTAATAGAATTTAAGATGTTGCTTAGTTTTCCGTTATTTTCAGTTGTATTCCTCCGAGTATCCAGCAGAAACTAAATGTTTTACTTTCATTGTTACTTTAAGTTAATAGTCCGAACGACTCGTATGTACACTTCTCACTTAACATTGTCATTGTTCTCTCGCTCGCCTGATTTAAGTTTTAAAGTATGGCAGTCGCGTTTGTTCACGTTGATGTTCTTAGTAGCGTTGACTTGTTGCATCAGTTGGTTCCACTATTTAAAGTTTAAAATGTTTTATTTTAAGTTTCATTTATATAGATTAAAGAAACGTAACATTTAACGAGGACTTCTAGTTATTAGCTAGCTTTGCTTTTCTTGTCACTTATTAGATACCAGACTCTCAAGCTGCATACCTCACCAACTATTCTAAATAACATATTGTTACGACAGCGGAATTCGCGTGACGCTGGTAACACGTAATGAGTATTTGGAACGTTCATGAAGGCTCGAGTGTTTGCCAGACGCCCTCTATTTTGTATATATATATGACTGGCAAGAAGTGACGAGGGAAAATAATTGCAGACAGAGATATATAGAGACAGATAATCGAGCCAAGCTGTAAGTAAAGTGGGTGAATCGTTGTGAATTCTAGCGTGTGTTGAAGTTAAAGTGATTGTGGAAATTAAGTGTATTACAGAATTGTATTGAGAAAGAATAAACTAGTTTTATTTAAGAAAGGACTTGTATCGCTGAAGTTCCTCTGGAAGAATGTTTACGGGAAATTAACAAACGAGACATAACAAATTGGTATCAGAGAGTGGGGCCAAAAAGAAAAATAGATGGAAACGAGAAGTGCCAAATCAAACTACGACTTAGCAGATTTGATGGCAGCAATACAACAACAGCAAAAGAAACAAGAAGAACGAGAAAATAAACAAGAAGAAAGATTACAGCAGTGGCAGCTCGAACAGCAAAATAAACAAGAAGAGAGGTTACAGCAGTTGTTGGAGGATAAAGAAAAGAAACAAGAAGAGAGATTACAGCCGTTGTTGGAGGAAAAAGAAAGGAAACAAAAAGAACTAGAAAATAAACAAGAAGAGAGACTACAGCAGTGGTTGGAGGAGAAAGAAAAGAAACAAGAAGAGAGGCTACAGCAGTGGCAACTAGAACAAGAAAGGAAACAGGAAGAAAGTCTCCAACAGTTGCAGGAAAGTTAGCAGCAACTACAGGAAAGTCAACAACAGTGGCAAAAAGTACAAATGGAAAAATTAGTAAATTTCAAAGCGAATTAAATATATTAAAGGATGATTTATTGTCTTTTACACAAGGAGGATACATTAACAATTGACTTAATCAGCCCCAGACAATGGCAAGCCCCTTCCAGACCCCACAGCTAAACCCTAATGCAGACATCTTCAGTCCTGTTAGAAGTCACATCCCAGATATGAATGTCAGCAATAAGGGTGATTTAGTATGAAGGATGCCACAGGAAATCGATGGGAAGGCACCATGAGAAGCATGTAGAGCACAAGTTGAGCTACTGGCAGAAATGAATGGATGAACAGAGGAGCAGAGAGCAGTGCACCTGGCAACAAGCCTGAAGGGACAACCACTGGAAATACTTGGACAGTTGTCAGCAGACGACAAGCACAACTATAGAGCACTGGCAGCTTGATTTTTTTAGGGATATTGTCAAGAATAAATTGTGGGGATGAGATACTAATTAGGTTACTATGATTGAACGCCAGGCTAAGATCAATATGTAGGGATGAGCAAATAGGCTGGTTGGATTTGTGGGATAATTTTAATGGGAAAGTTAATCTTTATGGAATTGATGGCTTAAATTTAAACAATATCGGGGCTAACACGTGAGGGCTATGATATTAGTAAAATAGGAAAAATATAATTGACAGGAAAACATGTACAACAGGCATAAAACATTAACGTATTTTAAAATTTATGATTAATTGTTACTATTGTAATGCTAGGAGTATTAGAAATAAAACTGATGATTTCGAAGCAATTGTGGAAACTGGGGATTTTGATATTATAGGTATCACTGAGACTTGGTTGGATTTGAACAATTTTGATGAGAGAAATTTTTTTTGAAATACCATGCTGCAGAATATTTACTAGAGAGAGAGTATAGAATAAAGGGGGATGAGTAGTTTTATATGTGAAGAGTTAATAGCATCCTGTTGAGTTAGAGTGTATTAAAGAGAATAGCACTGAGACTGAGTCAGTTTGGGTTAGTGTTAGTGGATATAAAGGTTTGTTTGTTTGTTTTGAATTTCGTGCAAAGCTACACGATGGCTATCTGTGCTAGCCATACTTAATTTAGCAGTGTAAGACTAGAATAAAGGCAGCTAGTCATCACCACCCACCACAAACTCTTGGGCTACTCTTTTACCAACAAATAGTGGGATTGACCGTCACATTATAATGTCCCCACAGCTGAAAGGGCGAGCATGTTTGATGGGACTGGATATAAAGGGAAAAGTATTGTAACTGGGATTTGTCATAGACCACCAGGTCAGAATGTGGAAGTTAATGAGAAACTGTATAATGAGAACAGAAGGTAACTGAAAAAGATGTTATTATGGGAGATTTTAATTTCAAGGGTATTGATTGGGAAAATTTCGAGTCTAACAGTGAGGGGGATATGTATTGGAAATTATTCAGGATACTTTTATACACCAACTGGTGATGAAACCTACAAGAGAGGAAGCTATATTAGATTTAATATTAGCATCGGATGTGAATATGATAAACATAGTTGTGATTGGTGAGCATGTACAAGCGACCATTGCAGTATTAGGTTTGGGATTTTACTACATGTAGAATTAAAGAATAATAGTACCCTCATTCCAAATTTCAGGAAAGCCAATTTTGATGGAATGAGACATGATCTGGCTTCTTTAGATTGGGCTAAAGAGTTAGGAGGGGGTCTTGGACAGATGTGGGAATCATTTAGGGAAAAATTTATATGCATATAGAACATACATATTCCCTACAGAAAAAAAGGGCAATGGAGTGGAAGAAGCCAGTATAGTTTAGTAAAGATTTAAAATATTATATTAGGGATAAA